ATAATCATGAGTTCAAAAATTAATGATGCTTCTTGATTTTCCAATAAAACCACTCCTCCGTAAATATATCTATTATATTTGTATATTTAGATTTTATGATTAGTTATTTAATGCATATTTCGATATTAATAAAAAATATAAGTTAACAACTTACTTAATAATAATTTCAAATTGTTGAATAGAAATATGATTTAAATTAATTGTTTTGATATTATTTGTATCTTTGTTTACATTTGCCAATTTATCACGAAAATATAATGATCTATATTTTAAAATATTCGAGTGTGCTCTAAATATCTTTGTATTTGACGATTCTCCGACATTAATAATTACGTTAAAATCTTCTTTATCATCAAGAAGCTCAAGGTAATCTGTCGAAAGTTTTTCCAAGTGCTTTATTGCCATTTTTATTTTTAAATTTCGTAAAACGTAAATCAAATCCTGACTACTGTAATAATATCACACTACTTTAACGGACGGTTGTTACTTGAGGGTTATCAGATATATCAGTCTTCTGATAGTTATTTATATTTTTTGTGTGAGCAAAGACGATCTTTATTATTCAATAAGGCTATTTCTAGGACCTCTCTTTCCACATAGAATCGCTTCGGTCCTTTTATAGTACTATCAGCTCTTTTATGATTACTATATCTGTTAACAATTATATTACTTAAAGTGTTCTATTTGCATAATAATACATTGTGTCAATATGACTATATATATTCTATCAGTACTAGAGATGGGAAATCGAGTATTTTTTGAATCTATTACGAAGGCCGCATTACGGCTAATGCGGGCCAGAATTGTTAAATTCTGTGACATTCCGGAAAATACGAAACATTCCGCCTGCGCAGCGTCCCATCTCTAATCAGTACTACGTACGATAACTAGCATAGCGTGCTTTCATTGTAATTGACTGATTTTTGTAGATTATCCCATGATGTAAAAATATCATTGGTTAATCGAAATTATTCTCAAGACAAATTTTATACTGCACGAAGATATATATAATTAATAATTGAATATTTATTGCTACCTAATAAAATCAGATTGGTATAAATAAACGCATTACTACGAAATCTATTAACACAAAATCTAAAACTATCATCCGATACAAAAAAATCTAAGATCTTTATTTTTTTTAAAAAAATAAAATACTATTTCGGCAATTTAAAAAAAAAATTATACATAAAAAGCACAAAAAAGAGATAAAAAAATATAAGCTATTTATTTTAAATGACAATAAAAATCATATAAATAATTTTAAATTGTACATAATAACAGTTAATTAATATCAAAAGAATTTAATCATATTCAATATTAATGATCTTAAAACGTAACATTATGCTTTAATAATAGACATAACACTATATTTTAACCCTTATAAAGTTCGAAAGCTCATGTTTTCATTACTTCACATCACTAATCTATTTACTGACAGTATGTGTCTGTCTTTAGAAAAATAAATAAGTTATAAATAAATAGAATAGCGTTATAACCGTTTTGAAAAATGACTTATTTTACAAGTACATTGTATAGATTATATTGGTTAATTGTAATGCCTTACATGGCTCTCATCTAACTTTCGAATTACCTCGTCAATTGCTAAATTAAATTTTTTTCAACATGTTCGAATCGTATTCGAATCGTATCTGAGTATATGAAAAAATTTCCTTTTATACGATCTTATAAATAGTAAAAAAGATTACACAGAATAAACAAATTAGGCAAAGATTCTATTAGAATCCGATTACATGATTAATGCGACTTATAAATTTTTAAAAGTTTAGGCGAGAATTTTTTTTAATAATGTATTTATTTCCTACTTTACTTGACCTTCGTTAATATCAACTTTCATTAATAAAAAATTGAGTTCGAGCTATATAAATGATATAATTATCTATTTGTTATCAACCTTTATAGATGCATAGATGTCAAATGACTATTAACGAGGGTCAAGTGTATAACAACAATAAATTGACATTTATCAATAAAGTAACAAATTTGTTTACCAAAAAAAAAAAAGCTTGTCTAAAAATTTCTACGAGAAAGTTCTACATACTAAAAAATTTTACCAATCAAGATTTTTTAAATTATTCACCTCGGTACAACTAGTTGGAAACTTTGACCAATCATACATTCCTTGTCGTTGAAAAAAGGCATTTTCGTCCCACCCAGCTTGCTGTAATGCTGTGTCAACATCAACGTCTAATAAAGATTCACTTGGAACTTTATTATTATGTGTACAATTTAAAAAGCGCAATTTTTCATCAAGTATTAAGTATGAATTCTTCATTATATCATTAGATTCTTTAACTAATGATTTCTGATTTTTATGCTTTTCGACGAATGATTCAAACTCTTCTTTCGAAATTTTAAATCTCCTTGCATCTCTTAACGTACCTTCAAGTCCACCATTCTCGTTCTCTATAATCAAGACCTGAAAACATTTCCATCGGAATGGTGCTAAAATCTCAATTTGTTTATTCATATCTTCTTCCCAATTAAAGGAATTTACTACGGTGTTCAATTTAAATTTTATTCCTAATTGATGACACCAATTTGAGATTTCATATAAATTTTTAGTATGTTGTCCAACTCCACGACCAATTTGAATATTTGTTTCCTCATTAAATGAATCACATGAAATTGCCAATATATCCAAATTATCACGATTTTTTTGTAACCATGTTCGTTTGATTTTACTTCCATTACTAACGATAGATACTGACTCCAATTTTAATTCATTTTTACAAAAATCCATTAAATCAGCAAGATATTTTGGATATAAAAATGGTTCACCACCGGCAAAGTTAATTTTTTTCATTCCAGATTCAGAAAGTTTTCGTAAAGCTTGTTTAGAATTTTCTACAGTGGGAATATCTGATGATTTTGCGGTATGGAAACAAAATCCACATTCATAATTACATTTCCGTGTAAAATGAAAATTTACGGATATTGGAATTTTTTTCTTTTTTTCAAATGTATGATTAAAATTTGTACGTTTTTGATGTTTGTAAATGTTAAGTAACACGCGTATAACGTAATAGAAAAATAAGAAGATAAGAAAGTATAAAACTTCCATCATATAACGAAATGAAAATATATTGATTTATCGAGTGAGAATTTTGAAATTCTTTGATGAAGGACTTTGTAATGCATCTCTTATTTTTATAACATATTTATTCATATTAGAATTTATAATAATAAAAGAGACTTTTTTGAAACTATGCAAGTAATACGAGCAATGACGTAGTTAGAGCATCAATGACTTGACTCGGCCGACTTTAACTCTACTTTGTTGAAAATCGACTGTTCTACCTGATCATATGAGCATGCCATTGTTTACGTATGTTATTAAGTTAATATGACAAATATTAATATCTCTTGATGTTGTTGGTTGAGCTTAAAGTATGGCGTCGTAATTCAATAGTAATGTAGTAATTATTTGCTACAAAAGTATTGATATATATGCAGTAATTATTTACTACAAAAGTAGTGATATATATGCAGTTATTATTATTACATTTAGCAACTATTATTACATGTAATAATTATTATTACATGTATTAATTATGTGCTGAAGCTATAAAGAAATACTTCAACGCATCTAGTGATATAATTATTAAGCATAACGATATAATAATAATAAAGTATAGTGACGACCAATTCGTGAAAATTATTATGCATTAATTAGCCAATCAGAATTGCTGAAGCAGGTGAAAATTCTCGTCGCGTGATAATTGCGATCTCGTAAAAAGTGTCCACGCTCGGGAAAATTATTACATATAGTAAAATAATTACTACATATTACTACATGTAACAAATGTAGTAATATTACTACATATTACTGAATGTAACAAATGTAGTAATATTACTACATGTAATAAATGTAGCAATATTACAATAATTACGGTTGTAAAAAATCTTTAAAAAAATATATATTGTAAATATAATTGTTGTGATTAGCTATTTACAACAGCCTACTTTAGTTGAGCTTATTTATTATTGGCCTACTCGAGTCAACTAATTTAAAGTTAGTTACTTGAATTAACGACTTGAGTCTAATTGTTAGCAACTCTAGCCAACAGAGGCTTATGTACAGCTCAGGGTGAACTTTCTATGAATTTAAAGTTTCTATTACATATGAGATAATATGAGATACAATAAAGTGTTCTAGTTAGTGATATGATTGATTTCAATATCTATTTTGCTATAATTATAATATGCCGAATAATGGTGCTGCAATATCACGATTGGAATAGTATAATGTGCTAAGCCAATTAATGATACCTTAACATCCATGCATTATTTCTATATTTGATCAATTCAATAACGATACGTAACGACCTGATATTCTATATTAGTCGATCAAGAGGTTGATTGTTAGTCAACAATTGCAAAAATCTTCAGATGTATCTTTCATAATTATAGTTTCGATTTGGGTGTTTAGATTAGGATTAGAACCTTCATTATATATAAAGTCGAAATGCCAACATTTTTTATTGGTGCACCAAGGTAGGTTTAGATTGCTGCTTTTCGTTGTCCGGAATGATCTGCATAATTCGATTGGCCAATCACATGAAATTCATACTATTGGCCATGTACGTATTACGTAATACGTAATATGTAGCAATTACCCAATAAACCGCAATTGTAAAAAAAACAATGGATGAGATTCTTTCAATCAATCTTGATACGTGATTTTTATTTTAACAGTAGTTATCGGAATTATTGAATTATATAAATATTACGGCTAATTAAATATAAAGTATTATTATATTTGTCATGTAAGGCACAAAATTTCGGCGTGTCGTAAGTTTTTTTTTTCGGTAACCGAAATTTGGAAACTCCTGCAATTTATTATATTATAAAATTTCGGTCGCTTTAAGCTATGCCGGAAGTTTACTAACCTCCGGCATTTTTGTGCCCTGTTGCCATGACGCTCATGCTAAAACTAATAAACAAAACAAAACTCTAAAGGTAAAGTCATGTGGTACAGTTAGCCGGTCAAATCAGACCGTTTTAAGGCGAATAAACATAAAACTTTAATGGTATAGACTAGGTTGGCCAATGGACCAAAATGTGGCTTATAAGATGCCAATGGACTATGTCCATTGACATTTCTCTCAGAACTCATCATAGTCCATTGCCAACCCTGTGTATAGATGTTTAATACAATACTCTTCTTCAATATTTATCATACCTTCTCAATCTATTAACGACACTTTAAACTCTTTCATTGTGCATCTTTCAATATTTAATTATGGCATTTAAGCAATAGTATCATGGCATATCAAAATTATTGCAATACGGTCTTTGCACCAAATAATATGAAATTGTGTTAATATTATAAATAAAATTCGCGTCAACCATATTTTTGCATACACTATATAATGCATACTACGTATATGATTAATATGATTACTGTTTTTTGCTTGTACAGAATACTATTCAGGAATTTTTAGTATTGCGTGGTAATAGATAGATTAATCACGTCAAAATTATGTCCTAGTCTTGTGACTGTTCTTATTTATTGCTAGTTTTTCTTTTTATAACTCATCAATATTTTTAAACCAATTTAATATTTTATATTATGCACAAGTATGAAATTTAGCTGTCAATAGGAATTTATACCAGGAACGGAGTACGAAGTACGTAGTGTATGGTTTACAGGCAAGTTAATATGCGTGTGCGATTCTCGGCACT